GGCTGGGCGGCTGCGGCGCGGTCGCGGCGTCGCGGGGGCCGGGTCCACCGCGGGCGAGCTGGGGAGCACAGGGCGTGTCTGTTTATCCCTGTCGACTTGGGTGGCGCTAGGCTAGGGGGCTCTTCCTCCCTGCCACCCCCGGCGGTCGCCTCGGCCCAGGGCTCCCGTTCCGGCGTCTGCCCCGCTCCTCGGCTTTCAGCTCCCTCCACCCTCCGTCCCGCGCGCGCCGGGCGCGGAGAGTTCGCCCCGGAACCCGAGCCGCGGGTTGCGCGCATGCGGCTAAGGCCCGGGAGGGCAGGGCCGCCTCCCACGCCCACGCGCCGCCCCGCCTCCGCTGGCCGAAAGCCCTGGAGCGTGGCCCCGCGGCTCCGCTCGCCGCCCTCTGCCTGTCGGTGTGGGAAAGCCTTCCTGCCGGTTAAATTCAGCTTCCCAAACCCACTTTTCTCTCCGCCGTGGATGTGCAAAGCGCCCCACGTGATAGTAACCGGAGCAGAGGAGACAGGCGCAGAGAGGCGAGGGACCAGGTCAGGGCATCTCGCTGGTGAGAAGCCTTCTGAGTTGGACCCTCTGTTCTCCAGGTGCCGGGGTGCATGTGTACGTGTGTGTGTGTGTGTGTGTGTGTGTGTGTGTGTGTGTGTGTGTGTTGGGAGGCAAGGACAGGACCCCCGTGGAGTGGTTGTCTCCCCCTTTGCAACCACGGATTGGCGACTTGGCAGTGGGACCAGGTTCCATCTGTGGGCTGGGGTAATGTTTTTTCTTTTTCAATCAGATTTTATTGATCCATTTTAGATATATATAACAATCACAACCATCATAGAGGTGCGTATGATACGACCTGGGTTTTTTTTTCCCCATTCCCTTACCCTCCATGCAACCCCTCCTCCCTTCTCCACTTACAAAGCTTTGTTTCCATATTTTTCTTTTCTCTCCCTCTCTCTCTCTCTCTGTCTCTCTGTCTCTCTCTCTCTGTCTCTCTCTCTCTCTCTGTCTTTTAAACTTTTCAGTTCTTTTTTGGCTGGGGTTATTCTAACAGGTTGTTGTTTGCCAACATTTTCTCTGGTGCTTTAGAACACATTTCTTGGCCAGGTATGGTGGCACACGCCTGTAATACCAGCACTCGGCAGGCTGAGGCAGGAGGATCCCTGTGAGTTTGAGACCAGCCTGGGATACAAAGTGAGTTCAGGCCAGCTTGAACTGTAGGGAAACATTGTCTCAAAACAACAAAACAAAACAAACACATTTCTAGAGGACAAAGACTCCTGCTTTTCAGAGGACTGCTAACCCATTTTCTCTTTCTTTTACACAGAAGAGGTGTGGTGATGGCAGACACCTGTTTCCTGCAGGGACCAGTTATCCAGCCACGTTTTATAGAGAGGTAGACTCAACCTTCCTTGGCTGTAAGGTGGGCACACACTTGCCTTGTGAGCAACTTTGTGATTTAAGTGTTAAACCCTGCCATGAGAAAAGCAATACAATTCTGTTTCCTTAAATTTTATCCATCAATTTTGCAAAACAACACACAAATCTGCTTCCTCTGCCATACTACCCCAGCGTCAGCACTTTGTCCACTTGGCAAATTCGTTTGTTTTTTGGTTTTTGTATTTGTTCCCGTAACTGAACTCAGGACCTTGCCCTTGCCGGGCAGGTGTTGTACCACTGAGCTGTGTCCCCCCCCCCCTCCTGCTCATTCTTGAACACTTTGCCCAAGGAGCACTTCTCCTGGGGAACAATTACATGTCTGTGCCCCAAACAGAGCATACATTCTTTTGTTGTTGTTTTTTATTTTAAAGAGGAAAAAAAATAACAAAATAACAACAAAGACAAAAACAAAACAACACAAAAGCAATAAAAATGATACAGGACTTCAAAATAAGATGATAAGAGTTAACTGTGGTTGTTACATGACATATTGTTATCTTCAACAAAGTTGCTCAGATTACCAGATGTAAGAATGCAAGATTGATCAAACTGGGGCTGGGGATTTAGCCCAGCGGCACAGCGCCTGTCTGGCAAGCGCGAGGTTGTGAGTTCGATTCCCGGTACCAGAAAAAAAAAAAAAGATTGATCAAACCATTACAGAGAATAAAAAATAAAAACAAAAACCATTAGAAATGATACAGAGCTTCATTAAACAAAATGATAGGAATTCAGCAATGGTTGTTCTGTTGCATATTGTTGTCTTCAAATTAGTTGTTCCGATTACCAGGTATGAGCATGCAAAATTCTGAAACAGATTCAAAGAGATATTCAGGAAATTAAAAGTTCCATTGAAAGCTGGTTTGTTTTTTAATTGTAAAAGTAACAGTATTCTGGGTGACTTATGAAACCATGTTTCAAAATAAAAAATAAAAAATACGGATGGGGGGTGTAGCCAGTGCAAAGGCCCTGGGTTCATCTCCTCCCCCACCCAAAAAAGGAAAGGAAAACACATGTGCACCAGATGTTCACTGCCTCATTGTTTATTCTTGTGATAAACCAATGCTAAATCACCCGGGCTGGGCTGTACATGTCTCTAAGATAGAAGCCGTGAAGTAGAATCGGGGTAAACCTTTTTGTCGGATTGCCAGGGCAAATGCCACCCATGGGCCAGTGAAGAAAGCAAGTCGTAGCATTTATGTTCAGTGTTAACACTCACATGACAATGACAAGGAATAACGACTGGTGATTTCCACAAGGACGTATGCAGGGAAGTGCGTAGGGAGAATGGATTCGCGTGCAGGTTCCCTAGTTATTTCCGGGGCTGGGAGACCTTTAGCTTTCAGGGCAAAGTCTTTCTGGACAGGATGAGGCTTCTATCTGTTCTTAAGTGGAGAGTGTGTTTTGTGTATCATTCATATATCATACAGTTCAATCATTTAGAAAGAGATTTCAACCCTGTAAGGTGTACAGGTCAATATTTTAGTGTATGGATAGCTGCATAGCCATGGCTTATTTTGAATCTAGGTTCTGAACATTTTCCTCACCTCCCCGATGCCAGCCTTCGCATGGGTAGCCCATCCCCTTTGCCTCCCACTCCTCAGCCCTGATAACCTCCGCTTCCTTTCCCTGCAGATTCACCTCTTCTGGCACTTCGCATAACTGGAATCACACAGGATGACCTGTTGCGGCTGGCTTTTCGGGGAACACATTCACGTCATGTTTGCAGGATTTATGTGTGTTGTGGCGGGTACCGGCACCTCATTCCCCCCCAGGGCTAACGCTCCACCCTCCGGATAGGCCATCTTATGTGTATCAGTGACGGGGCGCCTGGGTTGTTTCCACGCTGCTGTGAGTGGCACGGCTCTAGGCATTTGTGTGTTCATATCAGTTCACTTTTCTTGCGTGTATTCTTCGCAGAGGGATGGCTCCGTCCTGTGGGAGCGGAGGCGAGCTTTTTGAAGAGCGCCCCCACTGTGTTGCCCGGAGTAGCTGCACCCTGCTCATCCCGCGGGCAGTGTGGCTGGTGCTTCCTGCTGCAGGGACTAGCCTGAGAGTGCAGCGCCTGCACTTCCGCCCCGCCCTCCCTGCTTCCCACGTCTGGGCCTGTGGTGCCTCCAGCCGTCCTTAGGAGAAGCCGCCGCCATCCAGGCCTGCGCTGGTTCACCTCCCGTTACCGGGCAGATGCCTGAGACCGTTGAGCGAATAAGAGAGAAGTTTATTCTGCCTCGCGGTTTTGGAAGTTGCAGCCCAGGAATGACCGGCACCGCTGCGTGTGGGGCTGTCGCAGCTCAACAGGGCAGGGGGCTTGGGGTGGAGCCAAGCAGCCACTCGCTCCATCTGTGGGAGGCAAAAAGAGGCGGAGGGGTGGGGTCCCACTGTCCCTGTCAAGGGCACGGCCCCAGTGACCCAAAGACCTTCCCCTACGCCCTGTCACGGGTTCTGCCCTCTCCCCCGAGCGCTAAGCTGAGGCCAAGCCTTGAACCCCTCCCCCGACACACCCTTCATATGCAGTTGTCAGGCTGTGCGGCGTCTCCACCTCCAAAACCTCTCCGGGATCTGCCTCCTTCTCTCTGCTCTGCTGTGACCACCCTGGACCAAGCCCCCCGGCATCACTCACCTGTGTCCTCATGGCCTCCTCCTCCAAGGAACTGCCCTTGACCTCCTGTGCCTGTCCTTGACAACCAGAGAGATGCTGTTAGCACATCAGTCAGACCTCCCGCTTCTCTGCTCTGGACACAATTATTTTCCTTTCATTGGTTCTAAAGATAAAATCCTCACCATGGCTCCATGGCCTGGCACACTAGTACCTGCTGTCTTCTCACAACCACTCCCTCCCTTACCACCCAACTACTGCTCTTCTAACTGGGTCCTGCCTCAGGGCCTTTGCACCTGCTCACCCCACAGCAACACCTCCCACTGTTCACTTCCTTCAAACCCTGTGCCCTGGTTTCACTTCCCTAGTGACCCCCAGCACTCAGCCCTTCTAAGACGGGGGAGGCAGACCCCGTCTCCCTCTGTATGAGTTCTGTCCCCTTGTCCTAAACAGCCAGGTCAGAAGGGGAAGGATGGCATCTGTTCTGTTCACTGGGTTCTGAGGAGTCCTGGCTCTGCTGAGGAACCTGACTTTATTTCACATCGGAGCTGAGAGCTGGTAGCTCAGGCAAGGATGGGGCACAACCCTACCCCGTCGCCATGCTGCTGGCTGCCGTTGCTGAAGGAATCCTTTGAACAGTAACTTTTCCGGACTAGTCACCATTGAAAAGAAGACTTTTCAATATCTGGCGGGGGAGCCCTTGCAAGGCCTCTGCTCCCCGTGGCTCGGGGAGGCGATGGTTTATAATGGTGCGCTGTCAGGCCTGTCTGTCTGCGGCCCTGTTACCAGGAGCCCCTGCAATAATTCCCCTTGAATCCACAAGGGTTTTGTTTGAGGTTCAAAGTGAGCAAACTCAGCGGTCTCCTTGGGTTCCTTTGTAATGAGCTGGGGGGTGGGGTGTCTGTGACGGGGAAGAGCCTCGGCCCCAGCAAAGAAATTATTTTCTCAAGTCCTTTTGGTATTGTGTGAACCACTTCCAGCAAAGTCCGGGAGAACACTAAAAAATTTTTTAAAAATCATCCACCATCCTGCCTCTAAGAAGAGATCACAGTATATTTCTGGTGTATTTATTTCCAGACTTTTCCAGGCATCGGGGCATGAAAGAAGTTGGTGAGGTGACAGAAGATACTTTACATCTTCATTGGGGAGCTGGGTCCCATGACTGTATACATCTGTCAAAACACAAAGGGCAGATTTTACAGTATGTAAATTGTACCTCATTAAACCAGACATAAAAAGCACAGCTTTCTTCCCACGTGACCCAGGCTTTGAACACAGCCATAATAGTTCTTCGCTGCCTCCTGGGGCCCCTCCTCGCAGGCCCACAGGGAGGGGCTTTCCAGCCGGTCTCCATTAAACCAGCACCGAGGCCAGGTTGCCCTGGATCCTGAGTGTTTATTACTGGGTCAAGGAGTAGGAGCACTGCAGGAGCTCTTGAGATTGTTAACCTGTTTTTCACAAAGCGCTGTCATTCTACAAAACCCCCAGAAGTGTCTGCGGATGTCATCAAGCAATTATTTTCAGTGTCAGGAGGCTTTTTTTCAGGAGGCTTCGTTAATGGATTTGTTCCGTGGTCAGGCACCAAGTTTTACTTCTGTCTCTTGAGAAAGGGCCCGGCTGGTGATGCAGCTCAGTGGTAGAGCACTTGTCTGGCCCAGGATTCCATCTCGAGCTCTGCAAATAAAATAATTAATTGAGTAATTAATTAAAAATTAGAAGGAGCTTGCTTGTAGGCGAAGATTTCTTAAATACAAGACAGTAAAATGCACAGTCCAAAAAGGAAAGAATTAATTAATAGATGGGAGCTCTTTAAAAATTCAAAAGTTTTACACTACAAAAGACACTTTAGAAAATAAAAAGACAAACAAAGGATTAGAAGAAAATATGTGCAAAACATTCACCCAGTAAAGGACTTTGTTTTCAGAATTTACAGTCAATGTACAACTCAGCAAAAAAAGGAACCAAAAAAGGAAAAAAAGAATCCAGGTGTAGTGGCACACGCCTGTAATCCCAGCACTCAGGAGGCTGAGGCAGGAGGCTCACCCTGAGTTTGAGGCCAGCCTGGGCTAAATAGTGAGTTCAAAGGCAGCCCAGTGAGGTCCTGTCTCAAAAACTCTAGGAAAAACAAAGTGGGCAAAAGATACTCTCAGCACCTACCCAAGAGAAGTGAAAATGCAAGGGACTCAGGGGAGAAGAGCTGAGGTCCCCAGGCAAGAGCTCCCCGACTGCCAGGCAGAACACCTTTCCCCTGACCCCGCCCCGTGATGCCCAGGTCTTGACCTTGACGCCGTCTCTCTCAGACGTGGTTCCATACTTTGGCCTGCGGTAGAATCTCGGTGGTGGTGATCTCAAACTACAGATTAAGGTCCGGTTATTTATTGTGAAACAGATCACCCCCGAACTTAGTGACTTCAGAGAGCATGGATTTGCTCTGCTCACAACCTGCGGTGCGGGGAGGGCCAAGGGCTGGTAACTTCTTTCTGTCCCACACAGTGTCGGCCAGGGTGGCTCAGGGACTCTTGCAGTCTTGTATCCTTCAGTGTCCGGTGGCTGAACCTGGAAGCTGGTGAGGGGCTGGGTTTTTCCATGCGCCTGTGTGGGGTCCCTTGATCCATTGCAAGGGTGAGCACCCCCAACAAAACCAAGGGAGAGAAATACATGGAATTTGCTTGATGAGGCTTCAGAGATCTCCGTGTCACCTTCTGCGTTAGCTGAGGCTCAAGGAAAGGGGACCAGATCCACGCCGGATAGAAGCACCGTAAGCAGAGCTTGTGGGAAGAGATCCGCAGATGCGGCCATCTTTGGGGAACACAACCCACCACGGGTTCCAGAGCCCCTGCCTGGAGACTTAATCCTGCAGGCTGGAGGGAAGCTGCACAATCTTACTTTCGACGTGTGCCATTGGCCCTTTGCCTAGGACCTATGGCCTCTGGCCCCTGAGCTGGGGCAGACTTGGGCTGCTGCCCCAGGTAACAGTGTGATGAAGGACTCCATCGAGGACCCTTTGGAGGGAAGTCAGCCTTGGGTCAGCAGGGGAGACCGGAGGAGCGGGCAGCGGCATCTGTCCCCAGCGGGATGGCGCGCCTGGATTTTGGGAAGTGGTATGTCTTAGCAACCTTTTTCTCCTTCCAGCACCTCCCAGTTTGTAGACGGCAGCTCCCGCTGTGTGGACAGGGTGACAGTGGCAGGCCCACTGCTGCTTGCTGCCTGGCCCTCACGGTTATTCCTGAAGCTTCATCTTTTAGATTGAAGCGGAGGCGCACCGGAGAGGCCCAGGCAGCGTGCAGTACTACTCGAGAATAGGGTGTCCCTGTCCCCTGGTCTAGATGCACTGGAAGGGCTGTGACCTTGGCTCAAGCTCTAGCTCTACCGCAGTGTTGCTGTTTGTGTCAAAGTAAGCCATGCATCAAACCCAGAACACGTATTTTCCCAACAGCCAAATGTGTGTGGATCCTCAGCTCCCATTCTGTTGACTATACTGACTAGCGGAGACACTCTCCCTCAATGGAAAACCTGCCATGGCTCCCCAGTGCCCATAGAGCTAGTGCCCATCCACCACTCCAGCCTTGCCTCCTGTCTGAATTACCATGAACCTTCGCCTCGCCTGGCCTTTGCATGTGCTGTCTCTCCTAGCCCCCACATCAGGAACAGCCTCTCTTACTTTCACTGCCTGCTTGGCTTTTGTCACCTCCTCCCTGAAGCTGCCCTGTTCCCTCTGCCTGGGCCGGTGTGGTCTTTCATGAGTGCCTTAAGCTGCGCTGTCCTGGCTGCCTCGATGTCCTGAGCTGATTCGAAACATTTCCCTTTCGTGGTCATTTTGGCGTTGGGGAAGAGCCAGAAGTGACACAGTGCCCGCGGGTGAAGAAGGTGTTTGAGGACGCACTGCCGTGTTTTTGTGAGCCTGCCTTTTGGCTGGGTGGCACTCGGCAGCAGCCTTCACGCTATTTTTGATCACAGTCGGGAAGGAGAACTTCCAGACCTGCTTCAAAAAGCGGCAAGATGGACGGGGTCCGCGTGTTCAGAGAGAGGGGGAGCGTTTTGCCGGGATTAATGGCAGTGTCTCTAACTGCAATAATCTTTTATTTAAATATTCACTTTATCTGTCCAGCACACTTACACTAGCTGTGTGGCCTTGGGTTAATTGCTTCACCTCGTTTCAGAGTTAGGGCACACGATCACAAAACAATCCTGACGGTACTGCCATGGCCTCAGCAGCAGAGGCATAAAATCTAGAGAGGTTGGGGCCTGCGTATGAGTGTGCAAAGCCAACCGCTGCGTTTGCCTTTACTGAAGAACCGGAGGGCAAAGCCCGCATGGCTCTCTTCCCGTGAGGCGCGCAGTACGGACTGATGAATGAAAGAATGGGGGAAGGCAGCTGGGTTTGGGAACCGTTTCGGGGGTCGGGTTGGGTTCGGTTTGTGTTTGTGTTTGCGTTTGAGATCAAACTGAGGACTTCACACTGCTGGGCAAGGGCTTTGCCAGGGCGCTGTCTGTGTGCGTAGGCCGAGGCAGGAAGTACCCCCCTCCACCCCGCCCCGCCGCCCCTGCTCATGGGAGGTCCGCCCCGTGCTACCTGTCTCCTAGCAACCGGGAAACAAACCGAGTGGCTTTTTGGACCCTTGCGCAGCGCATCCGCGGATCTCTGGAAAGCCCTGGGGAGCCGTGCTCCCGCTTACACCACGGTCTGCTGCCCCCTGACCAGCCCACAGGTACCCCTCGCGCCGTGGGATCCGGGGTCTCCACCCCGGACCCCCTAACCTGCAGCCTGTTGCTAACCCTCGTCGCCGCCTCCAACCCAGACTTCCTTTTCGGCGGTCGCCCGGGGTTCCGCCTGAACAGACCTTGAGCTTGTGTCCTGAGCACAGGACCCAGTGCGGTTCGTGTCTTGCCCGGGGGGAGTCTCGCCCTGGTTGACCTCGCCAGGCACCCGCACGGCTCTTCCCGGCCTGGTTGGTCTTTGCCCAAATGCCAAACGCTTAGCGTGCCCTGTGCAGCTCGCCTGGACTGTGGCAGACCTCCCTGAGCGGGTGCAGGGAGGATTCTCCACCCTCCACTGCCCTCTCCTGATTCCTGGAGAACCACGCTCACCTGGCCAGGTATTCCAGAAGGCCCAGTGACTGACTCCTGATTCAGGGCAAGCCAAGCAGCTGGACTCGCTCATCATCCTGGACATTGTTGTGGGCTCTTGGCCTCCAGTCGGACTTGTGGGTCTCATTTTGTAGAGCAAGCCAGCCTTGAACCCCTAGTGAGCTTCCTGCCTCAGCCTCCTGAGTGCTGAGATTCCAGGTGCGCAGCCCCACACCCAGCTTACACTCAGATTTTGATTCGAAAGATCTGAGATGTATTTTAAACAAGGTGTTAGTGACTTACAACCAGCTTATAGGAATCAATGTCTTCACACATCCCCACCAGCTCGAACCATGGTGGTTCAGAGCCACCTGGTACCAAGACATGCAAATTGCCAGCCGCCCTTCTCTGTGGTTCATTTTTTTCTGCACATCTATTGAGTACTGACTGCACCCCACAGCGATCAGACCTTGGGCAGGTGGGGAGCAAGTCGAGAGAAGGGTGGAAGGGTGGGTCTTCCCACAGCGATAGGGCTTAGCTCCCGGGGACAGACGTGACACAGACTTTATTTTTCCCAGCCTGACCTGCACTCTGGAGCATGTCTCTGCACGCCTGGGATTGGGAGGATGAGAACAACGAAAGCATCCAGCCGGCCTCTTCCTTCCCTAGCTTCTACCGCTATGAGGCTGATGTGGACGACTATCCGAGGGCGCCGGCGCAGGAGTGCGACTTTGACAACCGCTACGGCAGTGTCCACAGTGTCCACAGCGTCCTGTCCTTGGATGCCAGCATCTTCAACTCCGACGTGCCCCAGGTCGTCCCCTTCCATTTCGTTATCTCCCTGGCCCTCCCTGTGAGTGCAGGTAGGTGCTAGTGGAGATCCCAGTGGCCCTCGCAGAAAGGGGGTGCGCAGCTGACCTGCTCTTGGAAATGGTCAAGAGGCCATTTCCCCCATCCCAGAGGGTCCATGGTCAGAAAGTTTAGGGGGCTCAACTATGGGCCGGGCACGTAAGTGACTGCGTGATTGCTCAGACTTAATCCTCTCAAAGATCGTAAAAAGCAGGTGGTGTTGTGTGTGCTTTTTACAGGTGAAGAGACTCAGAAAGGTTAACACACTCACGCAGAGGCTGTAATTTGCATGTCTTGGTACCAGGTGGCTCTGAACCACCATGGTTCGAGCTGGTGGGGATGTGTGAAGGCACTGATTCCCATAAGCTGGTTGTAAGTCACTAACACCTTGTTTAAAATACATCTCAGATCTTTTGAATCAAAATCTGAGTGTAAGCCGGGTGTGGGGCTGCGCACCTGGAATCTCAGCACTCAGGAGGCTGAGGCAGGAAGCTCACTAGGGGTTCAAGGCTGGCTTGCACTACAAAATGAGACCCACAAGTCCGACTGGAGGCCAAGAGCCCACAACAGTGTCCCATACTGGCCCGTTTTATGGATCTGCACTGGGAAAGCCCAAAGGTCAGCCTTGGAAGACAGAAGTCTGTGCTAGCAGGCTGAGGGATCTGTACTGGAGTCAGATAGGGACATTCAAAGCAAGGACCAGACCTTCCCCAAAAAGTACCACAGCCATCCTCAGTGACAGTGAGGTCCCAAGCTTCTCCAGTGATGGGAACAGCTGAACTCCTATCTGGAAAGCCAGCAGGACAAGCTTTTCCCTGAGACTGAGCATTGCACCATCTTCCCCTCTGGAGCCAGGAAGCAATGCTCAAAGCAAGAACCAGAGCTCCCCCGAAATGAACCGTAGCCATTCTCAGCAACAATAAAGTCCTGAGCTCCTCTGATGATGAGAACAGCCGAGTTCATCAGGAAAGCCAGCGTGACAAGCTTCTCCCAAGAGAACCAACAGCAGCCCTAGGAAATCCAACAGCTCCCAACAGCTGCTCTAGTTCTGCCTCTTATGCTGCTGGCAACAGTCCTCAGGTGGGCCGCCCACACCCAGCACCACACTGATTCAGTTCAGCTGAGTGTTACAAGTTGCCCACCAGTTGTCAGTCCACCACAGTGCCTTTGCACTGTCACAAAGACTTGCTTTTCTGATTTTGGTGTTTTCACTAACAGTATCTGCCGAATAGATCTTCCAAACGTCCTGAAACTTTTTTTTTTGGTACCAGGAATCAAACTCAGGACCTTGTGCTTGCCAGGCAGGCGCTTGTGCTGCTGAGCTATATCCCTGGCCCCTGAAACTTCGACATACGTTTGTCTGGACATAAAATCGTAGGCTCATTGTTTTTTCCTTCACTATCTAAATATTTATAGAGACTTCTATAAATACATAAAGCATTTTAAGAGAAATGGATCCTACATATTTTACAGCTTGATTTTTAAAAATGTAACATTTTAGATATCTTAGCAGTTATGAGTACATACTTATTATTTTGTTGTTTTGTATCCTCCATATTTTACAGCTTGATTTTTAAAAATGTAACATCTTAGATATCTTAGCAGCTATGAGGACATACTTATTATTTTGTTGTTTTGTTTTGAACACATAGTATTCCATTATGTGTCTAATTTACCCTACTCTTTTTTTTTTTTTTTTTTTTTGTCTTTTTGAGACAGGGTCTCACTATGCAGTTCAGGCTAGTCTTGAACTCACTTTGTAGCCCAGGCTGGCCTTGAACTCACAGTGATCCTCTTGCCTCAGTCTCCCCGCCCTCCCCCCCAGTGCTGGGATTGCAGGCATGTGCAACCACACCTGGCCTATCTTATCCTTTTATGTATTTGTTTGTTTGTTTGTTTTTGCTGCTGGGGATGGAACCAAGGACTTTATATCATAGGTAGGACAGATACTCGATCTAGGCCTTGCTTCCCAGCTGGCCAAGAGGACTGGACCTGATCTCTCCCAAGCTAGGTGAGCAGTGGAGTCCACAGCCTCCCACTGTGATCAAATCCCTGAGGTATACGACTTAGGAGGAAAGCTTTGTTTCAGATCATGGTTTCAGAAGTCCCAGTCCATGGTTACTAGGCTCTGTGGCTTTGGGGCTGTGGTGAGGCTGAACATCATGGCGGGAGCACTGGGGAAGGGAGACTGCTCACCTCACGCCAGCCTGGAGGCAGAGACAGAAGTTGGAAGGGCAGCGTCTCAGTAGCCCTTCAAGGCCACGCCCCCAGTGACCTCACTTCCTCCGCCAGGGCCCACTTTTTTTTTTTGGTCTTTTTGAGGCAGGGTCACCCTATGCAGCTCAGGCTGGCCTTGAGTTCATTGTGTAGCCCAGGCTGATCTTGAAGTTGCAACAATCCTCCTGCCTCAGCCTCCCAAATGCTGGGCTTAGAGGTGTGTGCCACCATGCCCGGCCAGGGCCCACGTTTAAAGGTTCCGCCACTTCCGGATAAGGCCGCAGGCTGGGCACCAAGCCTTCAGCGGACAGACCTTTAGGGATGCGTCCTAACCATAGCACACTCTTTGGGAAAAACAGATTTGTTTTTCCACAGGAAATTACAACAAGGCTCTTTCTGTCTTCTAGATCATAAAGGAAAATATACAAGTATTATTGATAAATACAAGAAATATCCTAAACTGCCCAACCGTATAGCGAAGCTTCGCCGTTTCTACCACATTGAGTATTTCTTCCTGCCAGATGACGAAGAACCTAAAAAAGCTGATGTGGTGGTGTTCCCGGGACTGGCCAAGGTGTCCCTGGAGTTGGGAATAAAGGTGTGTGGGGTGCGGGTGTGTGTGTATGTGGCCTTGCGTGCAGTGTAGTGTTCACCACGGGGTGGGCTCCCTGCCAGCCTGCGGCGTAAGTATTCCCTGGAGCTTGCTAGACCTGCAGACCCTGGGGCCGCCTCAGGCCTTCTGTGTGAGAATCTGCACTGACCTAAGAATGCCACACACCTAGCTTTTTTCTTTAGCTATTTTTAATCAGTCGTGTCTGGGTATCTCAAAATTGTGGCAGCTCCTGAATTTCCCTTCCTTTGTACATGCATGTGTGCATGTGTGTGTGTCTGTGGCCACACGTGTGCATGAGTGTTTATGTGTGTGTTCGAGTGCAGCTTACCCACATGTGCACACTCTTGCCAGAGGTTTGGCTTGGGTTAGAAGTAATCAGGGAGGGGTCGGGGATATAGCTCAGCAGCATAAGCGCCTGCCTAGCAAGCATGAGGTCAAGTTTGATTCCCGGTACCAAGAAAAAAAAAAAGAAGTAATCAGGGAGGACAGGCCTTGTAGTTATCTGCTTTGATGTTATTTTTTCCAAAGAACCCAGAGCCTGGCAGAGGCGGGTCTGTTCTGCACCACCTCCTGCTGAGGGTTTGGAGCTGTAGTGAAGCATGCGGAGGGCGGCAGTGAGGGGCCAGCTCGCTGGGCAACGGCCACCTCTGTCCACTGCCACCGCCCCCGTCTTCCCGCAGGTGAAGTCTCTCTGTGTTGTTCTGCACAGACTGTGAAACCCTGGTGTGAAGACGACAAGCTCTGGGTATCATGGAGCCAAACTTTTAATGTCAGTGTGACAAAGGAATTGTTAAAGAAACTGAATTTCCACAACATCACCGTGAGGATCTGGAACACCAAGGATAAGATTTCGAAAAAAATCAGGTACTATTATCCGCTGAAGACCTGTTTGTCAGATGACCTGTGCTCTTTCGGTAAGTCAAACATTACAGTTTGTTGTGTTTTTTGTTTTGTTTTGTTTTCTCTTGGTTTTATTTGAAATGTTTCTGGAGGCTTGTAATTTCTCGCTGCAGGGTGGCTACCCTAAACCGAAGATCTGCAGTTGGAAATGCTCTAAAACTTGAAACTTTTTGAGCATACAAACAACCCAACAAGTAGAAATCACCACACTTGACCTTATGTGATTGACCGCAGTCACAACTCAGGCACACTGAAACTATTGTACAAAATAACTTTCCCCCTGTGTATGTAGGCACAACATGAAAGAATCTCATGTACCTGAATGTGGTCTCCAGGGTATCCCAGTTAGTTTGTATGTGCAAATATTTCAAAATCTGAAGAAATCCTAAATCCCAAGCTTTTCAGAGTACCAATACTCAGCCCATAGTATCAGAGTCAAATTGAGTGTTCCTTTGTTTCTAGTTTACCTGGTGTGTACGATGGTTTCTGCTTTGGGGGGGCACTATTCCTCCAGGACATGCTTGAGGCATGTCTTACTTTTCTCTCGTTGCTGAGACAAAATACCTGACGCCCAAAATGAAGGAAGGAAAGGTTTATTTAGCTCACAGTCCGTGGAGGTTTCAGTTCACACTTGGCTGGCTCCAAGGCAGGGTGGCACATGGCAGAGGGCAACAGTTCATGGTGGCAGAAGACAGTAAAAGCAACAAGAGCAAAAGGGGAGAAGAGCAGCAAGCAGCCTCTTTCCCTCCCTTACCCTGTATGCAAACTACCCGCCCCAGGGCGGGTGTAGCACTCACACCCATGAATCAGTCATGAACTCTAGAAGCCCCCCCATGACTGCATGAGGCTTTGGGGGGGACACCCAGACACAGACCATAACAAGGCGCCAGGAAGGGGCCACTTATGGTGTTGGTGGGCAGTGACTGGGGCCACCTTTCGGGACCTCTTGTCCCAGGGCAGCGGTTCTGTCACAGGTATGCACCACTCTAGCATTGTATATGCACTGAAAACAATTAAAGGGTACGAAGAAGCAAAACAGAAAGTTCGGCTGGGGCCAGTGGTGGATCATGTAGTGAGCACACGTGAGGTCCTGGGTGCATCTGCCCTCCCTCCTCCCCGGCAAAAGAGAGGAGAGAGAAAATTTTAAAATCCTGCCTCAGCCTGCAATAACCAGGTTAGCAGGTTTGTGGGACCCCTCTGCACCTTTGCTGGTGGGTAGCGGTCACCTGAAGGGTCTTGTCCCTCTCCCGGAGGAGCAAGCTGGGGGAGCTGGGGAGACCCAGGCTCTGAAGTCGGGCGGTGGGATCTGATCTTGCTTCCGCCTCGTTCTAGCTGGTGATCTTGGAAAAGTTCCTGAGCATCATGCACTTGTCACCTGTGAAAACTGGGACAGAAAGAGTCGCTATCTCTCGGGGTAGGCGGGTGGAGGCCGCCCCATCGAGGCACGAGCGATGGTAGGGTAGCTGCTGTCCATCAAGAACCTTAAAACTAGAATAAGATGCTACTGATTGATGAACTGATGCTGTGGCACTAGCTGTAAGCTGCGTTCTGACGCTCAGAAGTGTGAAGAGGCGCGCGTATTAGAACTGTGGAAGTGCGGTGCTGTTCGTTGCTTGGGAGTTGTCAGGAAGCCAGAGGCAGCGGCAGCAGGCCACATCTTGGTTTTGTGTGACTGAGACATTTGAATCTCTCCAGTTTTCTTGCCTGCCCTCCGGAGGGGCTGTGCTGACACTGCAGGCTTGGGCCTTCCAGTTTTTAAGCTTTCCTCCATGTCCCTGGCAGTCCTGACATTTTGGACCGGGCAGTTCCTCACTGTGGGGACTTCCCTGTGGGTACTAGAATGTGAAGCAATATCCTGGGCCTCTACTCACAGACAGCAGTGGTAGCCTCCCAGTGTGACCAGTAAAAATTCCCTCAGACATTGCCAGATGTCCCCTGGGGGCCCAATCACCCTTAGCTAGTCGGGTATGGTGGTGCACACTTATACTTCTAGCATCCTGGAGGCTGAGGCAGGAGGATCTCGCGTTTGAGCCCAGCCTGGGCGGGTTCACAGCTTAGTGAGGGACTGTCTCAAAAACAGTGTAGCTCAGTATGAAGCCTGGTTCAGTCCCCAGTAGTAAAATTAATTAATTGCCCTTAGCTGATAATCACTGATTTATACCTAAACTAATCATAGGATCCTATGTAAGAAAATTGAGAACAAGGTAACTTTTCTCATCTGAACGCAGTGAGAAAGCTGTGTCCTTCAAGTGTGAGATCTCAGCCACCTGCTCTTGGCAGATTCTAGACCCTGGCCCTGAGCTGCTGGGACAAAATCTCTGGCCAACATCTGCCCCGTGGTGGACTCACTCTGGAGTAGGGTGAGGCAGGTTTGGCAAGATGAGTAGAATCAGGTGGCGGACGAGGAAGGGGAAGGGTGTTGTGGGCCCTGCAGGTAGAGCCCGGGAGCTTCTTACCGAGTGCTTGTGAAATGGGGGTGCCTGCTTTTCTTTGACCCCTGTTCCAAGCCTGGCATCCTTGCCTGGTTCTTTTAATTGTTTATTTTTTTCCCATGAAAAAAGCAGTGTATATTGCCTGTGTAAAACAATCTAAAAACAGAAATTTTAAAAAGAAAAATTAAAATCACTTGAGGCCAGTCCGGAGCTAGTAGTCTTTGCTACCAGATTTTTCCTGTGGGCCTGATGAGGACCAAGCACACTGCGCTTACTGGAAGGGGTGGCAAGGCGCTGTGCCAGGCAGTCGACACTGGCAGGTTCTAGCTGGCACTTGGGGTACCAAACAACAAGGGTGGGACAAAATTTTCGCATCATGATGCATCGGGTACCAGAGCGGCGGAGTTTCAGAGCAGTGGAGTACCAAAGTCCGACGGTCTTTTCCTTTCTCGCGATAGCAGACGCACCGGGAGGTCTGCTGGTGGACAGGCGATACATGTGAATGTGCGGGGGTCAGGCGCCGGGACTGGTTAGCTTCTAGCCCCGTGGTTTGAATGGAACCCCCCAGCTAGAGTCAGCATTTTTCTTTGCTTCCATCTGCTCCATTTCTTGGCTTCTCAGTGCTGGAAAAAGACATCATTCTTGCCCCAGCCCTTCGACGGGCTCAGCCCCTGGCCACCCCGCACATGCACCTGTTGGTGTCCCCACCACACCTGTCTGCTGTCCTGTGGAGCTCTTCGCCCTGCAGCTGTGTCCTCCCTGGATCCCAGCCAGCAGTGCCCAGGTTTTACCCTGTCCCCTCTCCTGGCCTGCCCTCCCTACGTCACTGCCTTGACCCTCTTGCGTCACTGCTCTGCAACCTGTCATGGCTGCCCAGTGCCCCAGGGGACCAGTTCTGGCTTCTGAGTCGGCCCTGAAGGCAGTTTATGATTTGCTCCCAAGGCTTCTTTCTTGCTGCTTCTGCTGCTGCTGCTGCTGCTGCCGCCTTCTCACCCTCTGCACCCTTTGGTTCCTGAACACTCTGTGATCCTCTTCTTCCTCATACCTGCCGTAGGCGCTGGCCATACCTTGGGGGCGCACCTCAATTTCGGCCTGTCCTTCCACACTGAATCAGATCACTTCTTTTTTCCCATTTCTTTAACTTCCACTGTTTCTGTTCATTCATTCACTCATTTATTCGTTCGTTCAGTGCTTGCATTCATTCATTATTCCACACATGCCATTGTAATGTGTGTGGAAGACCCCTTCCTGACAGGGGAGAGGCATGGGGGATGGTGTCCCCCCTAGCTAGAAACAAGGACCTCTGTGTGTAGCCCTGGCTTTGCTAAGGACCAGCTGTCTGACCATGGCAACATTATTGAAGTCTCAGATTCCTCATCTGTAAAATGAGGGTATGCTATTGCTTCCTTTGAAGTGAAATGCTATGGAAAGAGAAATTAAAATTTTAAATAAAGCCTGCCAAAACCAGATGGACATGTGCAGACAAGCCTGATAATGGGACATTTCTTCCTTTGTGTAACCCATGCTTGTTTAACTGATGGCCTTGCAATGTAACTTCAAATATAATGGGACAGGGTCAGGGATATAGCTCAGTGGCACAAGCGACTGCCTGGCAAGCACAAGGTCCTGAGTTCGATTCCCGGTACCAAAAAAAAAAAGCCAGGACATTTCTTCCTTTGTGTAATCCATGCTTGTTTAACGGATGGCCTTGCAATGCAACTTGAGATATTTAAACTCCCTTAGCAACCCATGATGTCACCCAACCCTCCAATCATAATGTGCCAAATCTGACTTTCTACCTCCCAACTTGCTCTCCCAAAACCTATGAAAGTCCCAAAACCTCACCAGGTGGGGCTCTGACTCTTTGGGAGAGATCCCAGTCATGCCCACCCATGTAATAAACTGCCTCCTAAACTACCTTGGTGCCGTTTCTTCCCATGTGTGGTCTGCTTTCTGTAACCCTGTGATTCAGTGGAGAAACACCCAGCAGGTCCTGAATGTTCTTATTTGGGAGAGCCATTGCCGATAGAGGTCTGAGAACCTCACCCAAACATATGTGTGGTTACTCTGTGGAGTTTCCCAGTATTTCTGGACAGTTTCATGGGCCACAACTTCAGCAGGGGAGGGGTGTTATCTATCTTATCCAGTAGTGTGTGTCTACCAAGAGGCAAACGACCGCTCCACTTACTATTGCGTAGATCTCATTGATTGAGTCAATGATCTTTCTTCTGCATTCTAGAGGAAGTGAGACATTTGGTTTTAAGTCAGCGAGAATTGTGTGACATAGGCTCTGAGAGAGCTAACATTGTCAGGGAGGAGCGGAGTGAGGAGTCTGCCCCAGAAAAACAAGAAAAAGCGGACACAAGTGCAAAGTCTTTGCCAGGTGAGTGGAGGTGACTTTATGGACAAACTGCATGCGGCGAACCCCAGGTAGAGGGAGCAGGGAGCTGTGCTGAGGTCCTGCGCACACGCTCTGAAGCCTTTTCTGTGCCTCAGCACCGACTGCTCGGGGGAAGGGGCGTGCGACCTTCGGTCTGCCTGAGGGTGCACTTTGTTGTTGATTCTTTTTCTTTAGCTTCGTTTATTTTGTGGCTTATAAAAAAATCTCTGACTCTGGAAGTTCCATATGTGGATTTTCAGCAAATCCAGTGAAGAAAAAGTATAAGGAAAGCGGAAGAAAAAAATCTATGATTCCATGATTAACTGCAATCGGTATAAATTTTGGTTTTCACAGCACATGTCTTTGTTTTGGTTCTAGAATTTTTCCTTACGTAGACAAGGTTATCCTGGGTGCAGCCACTGCTGCTGTGTCCTGAGAGTGTAAATATGTCATCACGTGCCTCTCCGTTTCCTTAAACACTTTCCATAAACTTCATTTGTGGGAACTACGTAGGATTTCATGTGCGCGTAGGACTGGAATTTGCTTAAATATTTCCTACTTGGGAATCTTAAGAGGATTTTCGGTATACTCTAATATAAACAGGGCTGAAATGGGCAACTTAATAGACTTTTTTCCTCTCTGAGAGTAATATATACAGAACCAGAGGGTTCCTCTTGCCTCCATTTGTCCAAATATTTAGAATGCATTTGGTCTGTACAGTTATCGTTTATTCGCTCAGTTATCATTAACAAACCCTGTTTACTAAATGCTTCCCATGTCCCAAGTGTCCTGCCTGCACACAGGCATTACAGGAATGTGTCAGGGGCCTCATTTCGTTTTTTTGGGGTACTGGGAATCGAGCTCAAGGCCTTGCACTTGCCAGGCAGGCGCTTGTGCCGCTGAGCTACATCCCCACCCCCTCATTCCCTAGTCAACCAGCCTGGAACAAGTTTGATGACATTTGCTAATATTTCCTGCTTCTCACCAAGCAGAGCCTGAAGCTTCCTCCAAGAATGGCGAGGAATACGAAAAGTCACTCAAAACAGATGATCTTACCACATCTCGGTAAGGATGGAACCATGTTATTTTGAGGGACGGGAGTAGAGCCCCTCTTGTACTCACCCTACCGTGAGTTGCGCATACTCGTAGTAATTCTGACCAAGTTGGAGCACTTGCAATCATCCAACCAAAAGCAAAGGTGAGAAAGGGGAGTTTGTGTATGAGCACACGCATCAGGTGCTGTTTCTGTGTGCAGCGTTTTATTTCATTCGATCCTCATGATGGCCATTTTTTAAATTTAAAAAAAATTTTTTTTGTCTCTTTTGAGACAGAGTTTCACTATGTAGTTCAGGCTGGGCTTGAACTCACTTTGTAGCCCAGGCTGGTCTCAAACTCACAAAGAGCCTCCTGCCTCAGCCTTCCAAGTGCTGGGATTACAGGCATGTGCCACCACGCCAGGCATGATAATCATTTTTTGAGGAGTATTACTTTCTCCATTTTCTACACAAGGCGACTGGGTGATTCTATGATTTGCACAAAATCATAAAAACAGAAATTTTGGTTAAGCCAGGACTCCAACCAGACCCTCAGACTCCTAAGTCTGGCCTTCCCTGATGTGAGCTCCTTACTTTTCAGGCCTCTCGTGGCCTAAGGGTCTAGAGAAGGGGGTTCCTCAAAGGCTGTGGGGGTCAGGGAGAGAATGGAGGCCCAACTTATGGTTCGAGAGATACAATAAGAACAAGAGCACATGCCATTACCCAGCCTTAATTTTTTAAAGGTTCAGTCTCATCGTAGTGCAGGCTGGGCTCTAGCCATCTCCTGCCTCAGCCTCCCATATAGCTGGGACCACAGGCCCAGGCCACATGCCCAGTGAACAATCTTGATTTTTTAAAAATTGTTTTCACCTTGAATTTCTACATTAATTTGGGAAGAATTAACTTTTGTTCCACTGTCAGGTTACATCAATCACACTCTTGATTCTTTCCCTTAACTCAGACCTTCCTTTGTATCCATAGATGCTGTGGGTCATTCTTGTAAGTGAATTCCTAGATGCTTTATAGTTTTAGTTATTTTTATGAGAACATGTGGTTTTCCATTAACTTTTCTGATTGGTTTGAACTGTGATGGTACAGGTGTAGACCAACGGTGTTAGCATTGCCAGGGGCCTTGTTAGAAATAAAGTACAGACAGATCTCAGGCTTCCGGAAACATAACCTGTATTTTATTTGCCAAGAGTGTCAGGTGATTCCTCTGCATGATGAAATTTGAGAAGTCCTGGGCTAGAGGAATGCAGTGCCCTTGCAGCACTCTGATCTTACTTAGTCCAATAAATAGACGTTCAGATCTGGCCTCTGAGTTTTTTAATCTTCATTAAGTTTTCTCTTTGTGGATTTTGTAGGCAAAGTACTTCAAGAGCAGCAACTATGTCTGGGATAGGGACGGCCATGATGGAAATCAAGGAATTAATTGACAGAACATCATTTAGCAGCTTAACAAACTTAGAAAGACCGAAGTCTCAAAGTAAGTTAGAATGGGATTTTGAAATTTTATAATGTCACTAGACTTGGAAAATTATAAAATATTTCCAATTCAAGATACTGCGGTGTGATGCTTTGATATGCGACCAAATGATAGATACTGTGTTTTATACACTTTCAATTTACCAATCTGATTGCCATGTATCCATCATCTGCCCGTCCATCCACCCACCCATCTGTCCATCTCCATCCATCCGTCCCTGTTCATCCGTCCACCTGTCCATCCATCCATCTCCTACCCCCCACATATCTATCCGTTCTCATATCTGTCCATCTCTGAATCCACCAACCCACCCACCCACGCACCTGTGCATCTCCGTGTCATCTCAGTCCGTCCATCCACCCACTCACCCACTCATCCCCTTGTCCGCCCACGTGTCACCCATCCATGTGTCTACCCATCCCTACATCCATCCATTTCCTCTCCGAGGTTCCCTCACCCTCAGCACCCATCCATCCACTTTGTCTGTCCCATCCCATCCCACTCTACCAGTGTTTTTGTGTTCCTGATGCATGTGTGGTGTGTCTGGGGACACGAAAATCTCTTAACGTCTAATGCCAAGTACGGAATTACAGTTCTCTGTGATGGCCGCGGTGGTGGGGGTAGGTGTGTTCCCGGTCAGCCAAGGGTTCTTCCGCTCAGTTCAGATGGAAATCAGGAATCGGCAAGGTGCAGCTCTGCCAGCAGTTCTCACGTCGCCAGGTGACACCAGGTAATGCTGGAAGCCAACAGCTGACACAGCCAGCTGCCGGTCCCTGTCACTGCTGGCCTTCGCCATCTCATGCTGCCTTGCGCTGTAGGTGGACTGTCCTGGGCCCCATCTCTGCTGCAGGTCCTTCTTGGTTGCTGTTCTGTGGAACTCATGGGCATTTACAGCTCTGAATGTTTACTACTCTTTGTTTGGAAACAACCACTGTGTCCACACTACTCAGGATTAAAAAGTCCTAAATACATTGGGTGCGTGGTATGTCAGGAAGCATACAGAGTGGGAGTTGTAGGAAGACTTTCCTTGAAAAATAAGAAACCATTCGCTTCTGGCAAAGGACATGGCACCCCGCGTCTTGGGACCCAGTTGACACATAATCTTAGTTGCAGGCGGCTGAGAGACCGGAATCCTCAGAGCCACTAAATTTGCTCTCCCATTCTTGGCCTAGATTCTCTCACCAGTATTTCAGCTGAAAGTCGGGTTTCCAGCATGAGGTGGAAAGTTCCAGAGCCAGTGGGTGCACAGGCCACCTTCCGCGATGGGCAGTTTCCTCATCTCTCCACCAGCTGATCTGCTGGTGTCTCACGCTGACCTGGCCGTAGTTCAGCCCCAGAGGCTGCAGGTCCTTCCAGGTCGCGTCTCAGAACTGAATAAAATTCTTCCTGTTTTTAAGGCGGCTCGAGAGTAGGCCATATTCTCATATCTGAATATCTCTGAACTTCTGAGTTTCCTCCTTTCCAGATTAAACAACTAGCTAGCT